AGCAGTGGAATCGGTTATTTACCTGTATATTTCAGCCAAAAAGTAGCCGTTACGTGACATTTCATTTCAATAATAAATGTACCTAAATATGGCCATGTCGTACCGAGAGTTAATCAAANACTAGGTATAAGGAAATCTCCACAAGACAGTATACATTCGTATAAGGATACAGACGTATACTGATCATTATACAGACCTTATACATATACTTCAGTATACATCATTATACCTCTCCGTACACATTATGTATACGGGTTCATTATACCTCCTTATACATGCCATTTCATGCAGTGTGACGAAGACGAGCTAACTGGAACAGTTCAATATTGTGTAACTGAAACTAAGATGCTCTGGTCCCCAAACAGGGCTCAATTCTCCCCAAAAGAGACTCAAAACGTTAAAGTTATTCATTTAACGTATTCATGAAAGCGTCGTTGACATTTCCCTGGCGACCACCTTACCGATCGAACAATGAAAAACATCTTGTTAAGCCTTTCACTCGGCCAGACTGACCCGTACTTCGAAAATTGTGGCATATTGAGAAACTAGCTTAAAGGAAATTCGTCATAAAGGCTACAAAAGAAAAGCTTCACTCACTAAATTGTCTAAATTCACCATCCACGAACCCTTGGGTTTGACGACGCACATAGTCGAAATCACAGGGATTTGTCGATTCGTCGTTGTCTTTTCGTTCTCGAATTTAATTTGTCCCGACTGTTCGTCGCTCTTTTTTCTTGAATAGAATTAGTCTTTTCGTTCTCGACTGCTCACGACCATAAATCGATTTAGTTACATATTCCTGTGTTACGCTTTCTTTTCCATTCATGTTATTAGTCACGAAANAAAAAAAAAAACTTGGCAAACTTGGTGTCCTTTCTTTTCTTTCCTTCTTACAAATCGCAGAAAAAAGTTCTTCGGGGCATTTGCTATTTCCATTGACCCTGGCACTCACAGAATGAAATCAATTTTTCTTTCGCGAAAAGTTATTCCGTTAGGAACTGGTAAAACGTGTTTGCACCTGTTTATTCCTTAAATTCGCAATGACTTACAAACATTTCTTGTTTATAGAAAGTGTATGTTAAGAGAATATATTGGAATATAATATAATATAATGTAGAAGGTTAAAACGGTGGAAAACAGATTTTGAAGGGAGATGGTTGACTTTCAGGTCATCTGATGAGACACTTCTCGCCATTATTTTAATAGATATGTGAAGTCATCGTTTTCTAAAATCGAGAACTAAAGAGCCACCAAAGTTCTTATCCCCATCAGGCATAAGAGGGCGGGGTAAATTTATATCTGTTTACAATGTTACAGCTCAAGTGTGCATCGTTTGAAAACCAGCGTATTTTGAATTTCAGAGTTATGGCGCTGCTTGACACAAAGCTAAAATGGCATTTGTCGAAAAATATATACTTATCTCATGATTTTTAGCTTTTTTAGCTTTTTTAGATGTTAGATCATTAGGAAAGTGCTTATGTAAATGTTGGTTTGTTCAGTACAGATAGTCAGTGGCCTAGATAGCCAAAGTAAGTTCCAGATGTTAACACTATTTTCCGGCCGCCATATTGGTGCACCACAGAGGTGCACCAACATAGCGTTTCCATAGTGGGCTCCGTTATAACGTGTAGTAACAGTCAACGCAAAACCCATCATAATCACTCAAATTCGCCATTTTGAGCCACAGAAACGACAATACACATCAACTGAGGTAGATTTACATTTATTTTGAGTTTTAACATGGACATTACTCAATATCAGTTTACGATATTAAGACTCTTTAATATTCCCATACATTTCTTTATTTTTCGAACATACAAACAGACACGCCGCTAGTATGGGTGCCCTGTGTGTAAATTTCCGCGATACATTTCGACAATTCAAATATCTGCAGTCTGGGAAAACGCAGAAACCTAAAACTTAGAGAAGTGTCTTCTATATCTATTTTCTATAAGATTACAATTTCTTGACTTTATCCACTGAGTGGTTTTCGATTTATTTTTTTATTGCGTGACAGTGGAAACGATCCGTATGAATGACTACATGTAATTCTAATAATTCGAACGTTCTTTACATAGGCATGTTTGCTGAACGCTTTTTATTTTATATCAGCGTACAAACCTTTTCTTTCTCTAGCTTCCCACAGAGCCCTTAACGTGCCTTGAGTCTGCCTTAGCCTGGCGCTTTGTTGCATGCAAAGGGCCAATGGTTGGTTGGTTCTCCATCATCCGTCACGCTTCCGGCTCGTCACGCCATTGATTGGAAAGATCCGTGAAGCCCCAGTGAAGATGCTTCGTCGCTAGCTATTAGAAAGAAAAGAACTGGGAGACTCACAAAATGGAATTCTCTTCGTATTTTACTCTTAAGCGATGTAACATGGATGGATCGAGATGTCGCCAGGCCATTTAAATCTCAGTTGCAATGAATATTGGCAAGATCGAAGAGTTTGGTGTATCGAAACCATGATTCGAAGTTATCAGTGAGTTATCCCTCAAAATCGATATCCATATTGTTGTTNGCTTTAACATGGACATTACTCGATATCAGTTTACGATATTAAGACTCTTTAATATTCCCATACATTTCTTTATTTTTCGAACATACAAACAGATAGGCCCTTTGTATGGGTTCCCTGTGTGTAAATTTCTGCGAGACATTTCGACAATTCAAATATCTGTAGTCTGGGAAAACGCACAAACCTAAAACTTGGAGAAGTGTCCTCTATATCTATTTCCTATAAGATCACAATTTGTTGACTTTATCCACTGAATGGTTTTGGATTTATTTTTTTATTGTGTGACAGTGGAAACGATCTGTATGAATGACTACATGTCTAATAATTCGAACGTTCTTTACATATGCATGTTTTGTGAACGCTTTTTATTTTATATCAGCGTACAAACTTTTTCTTTCTTTAGCTTCCCACAGAGCCCTTAACGTGCCTTGAGTCTGCCTTAGTCTGGCGCTTTGTTGCATGCAAAGGGCAAATGGTTGGTTGGTTGGTTCTCCATCATCCGTCACGCTTCCGGCTCGTCACGCCACTGATTGGAAAGATTCCGTGAAGCCTCAGTGAAGATGCTTCGTCGCTAGTCGAAGGAAAAGAACTGGGAGACTTACAAAATGGAATTCTCTTCGTATTTTACTTTTAAGCGATCTAACATGGATGGATCGAGATGTCGCCAGGTCATTTAAATCTCAGTTGTAATGAATATTGGCAAGATCGAAGAGTTTGGTGTATCGAAACCATGATTCGAAGTTATCAGTGAGTTATCCCTCAAAATCGATATCCATATTGTTGTTGCGGCTCTTGTTTCGGCGCGTGAGACAAGAGCCTGAAAAAACCGGACAATCTCGCAGGCTCTGAATGCTGGCCCGGGTTTATCTTGAAAACTTAGGTGTATGTTTTTTTTGAAATGAAGTTTCGATGCGTTGTCTCCCCGTGATAAGCGCGAGGTTTTGAAAGGGAAAGTCCATGATGCACACCCAAACACTTCAACATTCAAAAACATTTCCATGTAATATCTTAATTGTTTGTCTTTGTCATCAAGCTGGTTAATCGATCTGTAATTTCAATGCTGTTGCTACTAAATCTTATTACTGACCTGAGTTATAAACAAAATACAAAAGCAAAATATTGCTTCTAGCTAGTATTTATTCATGTTATCATGTGTCTCTGCCAATCGTTTAACTAATGACGTTTCGTGACATATTGTATGCAAGGGTATGTATATTTCTGTTTCCGGTGATTTCTGGGAAATAGGGAAAGTGTTGTTTTATTGAATGACTCAAACAGCAGCTGGATTCGATAGCTTTATCAGTCCGTGATTGCAAAGAAACACAAAATCTGAGCCACGTCACTTTAACTGTAAATTCACCGTGTGGCAGTATCTCTTGCAAATAGCTTCGTCTGCTTCTGGACCCCTCGATTGGAGTCTGAGCGTGCCGGTTGGAACAGGGAAAGTGTTGCTCTATTGAATGAATTACAAAAATAGCGGTTGGATTCGATAGTTTTATCAGTCCGTGATTGCAAAGAAACAAAATCCGAGCCACGTCACTTTAACTGTAAATTCACCGTGTGCCAGCTTCTCCTCCAAATAGCTTCGTCTGCTTCTGGACCCCTCGATTCGAGTCTGAGCTTGCCGGTTGGAATGGATGTTGACGGTAAGTTTTCGTCGAACGGCGACTCAGTAGCTTTACAGTATGATATAAGGCAATTTCTTTGATCGATGCAATGGCGATTAGTCATGTGTAAAGCAAACACAGGACGAAACCTCGACGTACACGCATTATTTTAAGTTCAGGACCTTCATTTATAAATTTCCGCTCCCGGGCTGGTTTTCAGTATTCAAGGGTATATTTGACTTGTTTCGTGTGCAGACTTAACGTTAACCTTACCAAATTAAGCAGCACGAGACTGATATAACGGGGCAAATTGATAAAATATAGAGCTCGATAATCCACGAATCCTTAATTGAAAGAAATTGCTTCTACTGAGTGAATGCCGAAAGTGATTTGTCTAACACTGTTAGCGTGACAACAGCCTGACTGTTTTGTTCTGGGACGAACTTTGTACTCACTCAATTAGCCATGCATCAGTCAATTGACATCCCTACCCCCCAACCCCTGATTTAACGCTTGCCGAAGCCAGGACTTAACGCACTTTAAACGGTGCGTTGGCTCCAGGGAGTAGTGGATTTATAGCTTTCGTATTTAGTGAGAGTCTCTTGCAAAATTATGCTAACATCAGTTGTTTTTTGAGTCCCGAGCGAAGAGCTGAAAGTAGGCTCGATTTC